TAGGAACATAATTAAATACCTTATAATACCTTTGACTATACATGATTTACATATTGGTGTAAAATTACATACCTGATAATACATTTGACTGTCTGTTGTTTATATATAGGGACATAATTATATACCTGATAATACCTTTGATTGTCTGTGATTTATACATAATTACATACCTGATAATACATTTGATTGTCTTTTTTTATATATTGGTAGAGAATTAAAAACCTCATAATACTTTTGATTATATATGATTTATATATTGATAGAGAATTACATACCTGATAATACATTTGACTGTCTGTTGTTTATATATAGAAACATATTTACATACTTGATAATACCTTTGATTATCTATTGTTGATATATAGGTACATAATTGCTTACCTGATAACACCTTTGACTGTCGGTGGTTGATATATAGGAACATAATTAAACATAATTAATTACCTGATAATACCTGTGGTTTATATATTTGATTTTATCTGGTTTATATATAATTACATAATTACATATCTGTTTATATATAGGAACATAATTAATACACCTTTGACTGTCTGATATATGGTTTATATATACCTTTGACTATACATGATTTACATAATTACATACCTGATAATACATTTTGTCTGTTGTTTATATATAGGGACATAATTATATATTGATAATACCTTTGATTGTCTGTGATTTATACATAATTACATACCTGATAATACCTTTGATTGTCTTTTTTTATATATTGGTAGAGAATTAAAAACCTGATAATACTTTTGATTATATATATTTATATATTGATAGAGAATTACATACCTGATAATACATTTGACTGTCTGTTGTTTATATATAGAAACATATTTACATACTTGATAATACCTTTGATTATCTATTGTTGATATATAGGAACATAATTGCTTACCTGATAACACCTTTGACTGTCTGTGGTTGATATATAGGAACATAATTAATTACCTGATAATACCTTTGATTTTATCTGGTTTATATATAATTACATAATTACATTGGTAATACTTTTGACTGTCTGTTGTTTATATATAGAAACATTACATATATATTGATAGGAACATAATTAAATACCTGATAATACCTTTGATTATATATGGTTTACATATTGGTATGATTACGTACCTGATAATACCTTTGATTGTCTTTTGTTTATATATTGATAGGGAATTACAAACCTGATAATACATTTGATTATATAGTGTTGATATATTGGTAGAGAATGACATACCTGATAATACATTTGACTGTCTGTTGTTTATATATAGTAACATATTTACATACCTGATACTACCTTTGATAGTCTTTGGTTTATATATATGTTCATAATTACATACTTGATAATACCTTTGATTATCATTGGTTGATATATAGGAAAAAAATTACATAACTGATATTGCCTTTGATTGTCTGTGTTTGATATTTTGGTAGAGAATTACAAACCTGATAATACCTTTGCTTGTCTGTAGTTTATATATAGGACAATAATTATATACCTGATAATACATTTGATTATCTATGGTTTATGTTTTGGTAGATAATTACATGCCTGATAATACCTTTGATTGCCTGTGATTAATATATTGGTAGAGAATTACAAACCTGATAATACATTTGATTATATATGGTTTATGTTTTGGTAGAGAATTACATGCCTGATAATACCTTTGATTGTCTGTGATTAATATATTGGTAGAGAATTACAAACCTGATAATACCTTTGCTTGTCTGTGGTTTATATATAGGACAATAATTATATACCTGATAATACATTTGATTGTCTGTTTTTATATATAGATAAATAATTGCATACCTGATGCTACCTTAAATTGTCTTTGGTTGATATTTTGGTAGATAATTACAGACCTGATAATACCTTTGCTTGTCTGTGGTTTATATATAGGACAATAATTATATACCTAATAATACATTTGATTATTTATGGTTTATGTTTGGTAGAGAATTACATGCCTGATAATACCTTTGATTGTCTGTGATTAATATATTGGTAGAGAATTACAAACCTGATAATACCTTTGATTGTCTGTGGTTTATATATAATTACATACCTGATAATACATTTGATTGTCTGTTTTTATATATTGGTAGAGAATTAAAAACCTGATAATACTTTTGATTATATATGATTGATATATTGATTGAGAATTACATACCTGATAATACATTTAACTGTCTGTTGTTTATATATAGAAACATATTTACATACCTGATAATACCTTTGATTATCTATTGTTGATATATAGGAACATAATTGCTTACCTGATAACACCTTTGACTGTCTGTAGTTGATATATAGGAACATAATTAATTACCTGATAATACCTTTGATTTTATCTGGTTTATATATAATTACATAATTACATACCTGATAATACTTTTGACTGTCTGTTGTTTATATATAGAAACATATTTACATACCTGATAACACCTTTGATTGTCTTTTGTTTATATATTGATAGGGAATTACAAACCTGATAATACATTTGATTATATAGTGTTGATATATTGGTAGAGAATGACATACCTGATAATACATTTGACTGTCTGTTGTTTATATATAGAAACATATTTACATACCTGATACTACCTTTGATAGTCTTTGGTTTATATATATGTACATAATTACATACTTGATAATACCTTTGATTATCATTGGTTGATATATAGGAAAAAATTACATAACTGATATTGCCTTTGATTGTCTGTGTTTGATATTTTGGTAGAGAATTACAAACCTGATAATACCTTTGCTTGTCTGTTTTTATATATAGATAAATAATTGCATACCTGATGCTACCTTAAATTGTCTTTGGTTGATATTTTGGTAGATAATTACAGACCTGATAATACCTTTGCCTGTCTGTGGTTTATATATAGGACAATAATTATAAACCTGATAATACATTTGATTATTTATGGTTTATGTTTTGGTAGAGAATTACATGCCTGATAATACCTTTGATTGTCTGTGATTAATATATTGGTAGAGAATTACAAACCTGATAATACCTTTGATTGTCTGTGGTTTATATATAATTACATACCTGATAATACATTTGATTGTCTGTTTTTATATATTGGTAGAGAATTAAAAACCTGATAATACTTTTGATTATATATGATTTATATATTGATAGAGAATTACATACCTGATAATACATTTGACTGTCTGTTGTTTATATATAGAAACATATTTACATACCTGATATACCTTTGATTATCTATTGTTGATATATAGGAACATAATTGCTTACCTGATAACACCTTTGACTGTCTGTGGTTGATATATAGGAACATAACTAATTACCTGATAATACCTTTGATTTTATCTGGTTTATATATAATTACATAATTACATACCTGATAATACTTTTGACTGTCTGTTGTTTATATATAGAAACATATTTACATACCTGATAACACCTTTGATTGTCTTTTGTTTATATATTGATAGGGAATTACAAACCTGATATTACATTTGATTATATAGTGTTGATATATTGGTAGAGAATGACATACCTGATAATACCTTTGCTTGTCTGTGGTTTATATATAGGACAATAATTATATGCCTGATAATACATTTGATTGTCTGTTTTTATATATAGATAAATAATTGCATACCTGATGCTACCTTAAATTGTCTTTGGTTGATATTTTGGTAGAGAATTACAAACCTGATAATACCTTTGCTTGTCTGTGGTTTATATATAGGACAATAATTATATACCTGATAATACATTTGATTATCTATGGTTTATGTTTTGGTAGAGAATTACATGCCTGATAATACCTTTGATTGTCTGTGATTAATATATTGGTAGAGAATTACAAACCTGATAATACCCCTGACTGTCTTTGGTTTATGTATCGGAACATAATTACATTCCGGATAACATCTTTGATTGTCTGTGGTTGATGTATAGGTACAAAATTACATAACTGATAATTCCTTTGAATGTTTCTGGTTGATATATAGGAACATAATTACATAACTGATAATACCTTTGATTGTCTGTAGTTTATATTTAAGAAATAACGCGCGTCATTGAAAATATCTGTAAAAACCACACCATTAAATAACAAAAAATTAAAATTATTTCTTATATCTATATTTTTTTTGTTTCCTCTTTGAGAATACTGCATAAAAAATTCCGGTTTCAATTGTTTGGACATTACACGCTTAGGCGAAAATACCCGACATCTGATGGAATAGCCGAACAGCTGACTCCAATTTGGCGGGAATAATTGTCATACACAAGACGTAAGCAAATATTTGAATTATTTCCTATCTAAATTTACAACATTTTTTTCTCTTTTATCATTATACTCATATTTATTCAACATATTTAATTTAATAAAGGTTTATTAAATGCTAGCACTTTGAAGAAAAAAATTACTGCGCATTGACATTAATTGCGTAAGAGTGTTACAGTGATGCGTCTACTTTGAAGGGGAAGATCACGGTTACCAATATTGTATTCATACGCGTAAGGTTTACCGAAGTGTAAACGTCAATTTCGTTGGTAGGTCTATATAGAGGATACACACCGGAAATGTAAATATATAGGAACATAATTACATACCTGATGATACCTTTGGTTGTCTGGTTGATATATTGGTACGTAATTACATACTGGTAATACCTTAGATTGTCTTGGGTTTATAGTTTGGTAGATAATTACATAGCTGATAATACCTTTGATTATCTGTGTTGTATATATAGGAACATAATTACATAGCTGATAATACCTTACATTATCTTTGGTTTATGTATAGGAACATAATTACATAACTGATAATACCTTTGATTGCCTATGGTTAATATATTGGTAAAGAATTACAAACCTGATAATACCTTTGACTCTCTTTTGTTCATATCTAGGTACGTACTTACCTACCTGATAATACATTTGAATTTCTGTTTTTTTTTTTTTTTTGTATATTGGTAGAGAATAACATACCTGATAATACCTTTGACTGTCTGTGGTTTACTCGGATTGTACGGAAGACAGATTCTTTTCGCACCCTTAAATGAAAATGAATATAGCAGATAAGCTAACACTTCTTATTTTTAGTATTACAAGTAATTGTGATAACGTCGTAGATTGATGTTTTATTTGTTTTTAAATTAACATTTAAAATGTTCTCGAGAACTACTTTAAATACTTTCCCAGCAACCGTATGAGTCAGAGTTAAGACCGGGAAAGTAGTTAACATGATAGAAAACATTGTTCGCTTTAATAGGCAAAAAATGCTATTCCTGTATTACAGTAGGATATAAGCTTACCGACTTCTGCCAGAGTACGGCCCGGTACTGAGGTACATTGTGATTGTTAGCATCCGTTACGATGACAGACAGTAAGTAGGGTTCTTTTTCGGAGTCCATCCCCACATAATTTTGATGTACTGTGGTATGAATAGGTAAACATCATGGCGATTTAACAAATATTATCAGAACATAACAATTTGACACTTAACTTGAACGATGGCACATGATTCCAGATAAAAAAAAACATCGACTAGCATCACAAAAATCCTGTTAGCTTATCACATGACTTGTAAAAGGTTATGATTCAGTTAACTCGTCATGTGACTGGTAACTGAGATTGGACGATGATTCTGTTGACATGTGAACGTTACTAGTAACAGGTTAATATCCCATTTCCCGTGCCCCGTGGCATGTAAATGGTAAGGCCTTTTATTCAGTTTTCAGTATATTTTCTCCGTTATGAATATATAATTTTTTAGCTCACGTTTTCCAAGGAAGTATTTGAAATACCACCGGGTATGAAACTCGGGATTTTCCAAGTGTATTGGACTGTTGAGTGGACTGGAAACTGGCTGTAAAATCAAAACAAATATTAAACATCAAGCATTCTTACATACTTACATTCCAGATTTCATGATGTCTGATGTCAATAATCTACAAAGATTTCACGATGTCTGCTGTCAGTAATCTAAAGAAATTTCACGTTGTATGATGTCAATAATCTACAAACATTTCACGATATATGATGTCAGTAATCTAAAGAGATTTCTCGATGTCTGATGTCAATAATCTACAAAGATTACTGGATGTCTGATGTCAATAATCTACAGATATTTCACGATGTCTGCTGTCAGTAATCTAAATAGATGTCACGATGTATGATGTCAATAATCTACAGAGATTTCTCGATGTCTGATGTCAATAATCTACAAAGATTACTGGATGTCTGATGTCAATAATCTACAGATATTTCACGATGTCTGCTGTCAGTAATCTAAATAGATGTCACGATGTATGATGTCAATAATCTACAGAGATTTCTCGATGTCTGATGTCAATAATCTAAAAAGATTTCTCGATGTCTGATGTCAATAATCTACAAACATTTCGAGATGTCTGATGTCAATAATCTACATACATTTCACGATGTCTGATGTCAGTAATCTACATACATTTCACGATGTCTGATGTTAATAATCAACATAGATTTAACGATGTCTGATGTCAGTAATCTACATTTCACATTGTCAATAACGATAATCTGATGTCAATAATCTACGATTTCACGATGTATGATGTCAATAATCTACATGATGTCTGAGTAATAATTTCAACGAAGTATGATGTCAATAATCTACAAACATTATATAACATTATATAAACAGGATATAAGATGTCAAAATATACGGATATTACACGATGTATGATATCAGTAATCTACATAAATTACACGATGTCTGATGTCAATAATCTACATAAATTACACAATGTCTGATGTCAGTAATCTAAATAGAATGATGTCAATAATCTACATAGATTTCACGATGTCTGATGTCAATAATCTACAAACATTTCACGATGCTACAGATATTTCACGATGATGTCAATAATAATCAATTCTACACGATGTCTGATGTCATAATCTACACAGATTTCACGATGTCTGATGTCATGTAATCTACGAATGATTAATCTACACAATTTCACGATATATGATGTCGTAGTAATCTACATGTCACGATGTCTGATAGATTTCACGATGTCTGATGTCAGTAATCTAAAGAGATTTAACGATGACTGATGTCAATAATCTACAGATATTTCAAGATGATGTCAATAATTATATATTTCACGATGTCTGATGTCAGTAATCTACATATATTTCACGATGTCTGATGTCATAATCTACAAAATTTCACGATGTATGATGTTAGTACATCAGTAATCTACATAGATTTCACGATGTCTGATGTCAATAATCTACAAATATTTTACGATGTCTGATGTCAATAATCTAGATATTTCACGATGTCTGATGTCAGTAATCTACAAACATTTCACGATGTCTGATGTCAATAATCTACAGAGATTTCACGATGTATGATACCAGTAATCTACATTAATTTCACCAGGTCTACCGTCAATGATCTACAGAGATTTCTCGATGTCTGATGTACATAATCTACAAATATTTCACGATGTCTAAGGCCAATAATCTATATATATTTCACGATGTCTGATGTCAATAATCTACAAACATTTCACGATATCTAAGGTCAATAATCTACATATATTTCACGATGTCTGATGTCAATAATCTACAAACATTTCACGATGTCTGATGTCAATAATCTACAGATCTTTCACGATGTCTGATGTCAGTAATATACAGAGATTTCACGATGTATGATGTCAGTAATCTGCATCAATTCACGATGTAAGATGTTAGTAATCTACAGGGTTTCCACGATGTCCGATGTCAGTTATCTACATAGATTTCTCGATGTCTGATGTCAATAATCTACAAATATTTCACGATGTCTGATGTCAATAATCTACATATATTTCACGATGTCTGATGTCAATAATCTACAAACATTTTACGATGTCTGATGTCAATAATCTAGATATTTCACAATGTCTGATGTCAGTAATCTACAAACATTTCACGATGTCTGATGTCAATAATATACAGAGATTTCACGATGTATGATGTCAATAATCTACATCAATAATCTACAAACATTTCTCGATGGCTAAGGTCAATAATCTATATATATTTCACGATGTCTGATGTCAATAATCTACAAACATTTCACGATGTCTGATGTCAATAATATACAGAGATTTCACGATGTATGATACCAGTAATCTACATCAATTTCACCAGGTCTGCCGTCAATTATCTAGAGATTTCTCGCTGTCTGATGTGAATAATCTACAAATATTTCACGATGTCTGATGTCAATAATCTACAGATCTTTCACGATGTCTGATGTCAGTAATATACAGAGATTTCACGATGTATGATACCAGTAATCTACATCAATTACACCAGGTCTGCCGTCAATGATCTACAGAGATTTCTCGATGTCTGATGTCAATAATCTACAGTGATTTCACGATGTATGATACCAGTAATCTACATTAATTTCACCAGGTCTGCCGTCAATGATCTACAGAGATTTCACGATGTATGATGTCAGTAATCTGCATCAATTCACGATGTATGATGTTAGTAATCTACAGGGTTTCCACGATGTCCAATGTCAGTAATCTACATAGATTTCTCGATGTCTGATATCAATATTCTACAAATATTTCACTATGTCGGATGTCAATAATCTACAAACATTTCACGATGTCTGATGTCAATAATCTTAATATTTCTCGATGTCTGATGTCAATAATCTACAAACATTTCACGATGTCTGATGTCAATAATCTTAATATTTCTCGATGTCTGATGTCAATAATCTACATCAATAATCTACAAACATTTCTCGATGTCTGATGTCAATAATCTACATCAATAATCTACAAACATTTCACGATGTTTAAGGTCAGTAATATATATATATTTCACAATGTCTGATGTCAATAATCTACAAACATTTCACGCTGTCTGATGTCAATAATCTACAGAGATTTCACGATGTATGATACCAGTAATCTACATCAATTACACCAGGTCTGCCGTCAATGATCTACAGAGATTTCTCGATGTCTGATGTACATAATCTACAAATATTTCACGATGTCTAAGGTCAATAATCTATATATATTTCACGATGTCCAATGTCAGTAATCTACATAGATTTCTCGATGTCTGATGTCAATAATCTAGATATTTCACGATGTCTGATGTCAGTAATCTACAAACATTTCACGATGTCTAAGGTCAATAATGTACATATATTTCACGGTGTCTGATGTCAATACTCTACAAACATTTCACTATGTCTGATGTCAATAATCTACAAACATTTCACTATGTCTGATGTTAATAATCTATAGATATTTCACGTTGTCTGATGTCAGTAATATACAGAGATTTCACGATGTATGATGTCAGTAATCTGCATCAATTCATGATGTATGATGTTAGTAATCTAAAGGGTTTCCACGATGTCCGATGTCAGTAATCTACATAGATTTCTCGATGTCTGATGTCAATAATCTACAAATATTTCACGATGTCTAAGGTCAATAATCTACATATATTTCACGATGTCTAAGGTCAATCATCTACATATATTTTACGATGTCTGATGTCAATACTCTACAGAGTTTTCACGATGTATGATACCAGTAATCTACATCAATTTCACCAGGTCTGCCCTCAATGATCTACAGAGATTTCTCGATGTCTGATGTCAATAATCTACAAACATTTCACGATGTCTGATGTCAATAATCAACAGATCTTTCACGATGTCTGTTGTCAATAATCTACAAACATTTTACGATGTCTCATGTCATTAATCTACATGTATTTTACGATGTCTGATGTCAATAATCTACAAACGTTTCCCGATGTCTGATGTCAATAATCTAGATATTTCACGATGTCTGATGTCAGTAATCTACAAACATTTCACGATGTCTGATGTAAATAATATACAGAGATTTCACGATGTATGATACCAGTAATCTACATCAATTTCACCAGATCTGCCGTCAATGATCTACAGAGATATCTCGATGTCTGATGAAAATAATATATAAATATTTCACGATGTCTGATGTCAATAATCTACATATATTTCACGATGTCTGATGTCAATAATCTACAAACATTTCACGATGTCTGATGTCAATACTCTAAAGAGTTTTCACGATGTATGATACCAGTTATCTACATAAATTTCACCAGGTCTGCCGTCAATGATCTACAGAGATTTCTCGATGTCTGCTGTCAATAATCTACAAACATTTCACTATGTCTGATGTCCATAATCTACAGATATTTCACGATGTCTGATGTCAGTAATATACGGAGATTTCACGATATATGATGTCAGTAATCTACATTAATTCCCGATGTATGATGTTAGTAATCTACAGGGTTTCCACGCTGTCCGATGTCAGTTATATACATGGATTTCACGATGTCTACGGTCAATAATCTATAGATATTTCTCGATGTCTGATGTGAATAATCTACAGAGATTTCACGATGTATGATACCCGTAATATACATCAATTTCACCAGTTCTGCCGTGAATGATCTACAGAGATTTCTCGATGTCTGATGTCAATAATCTACAAACATTTCACAATGTCTGATGTCAGTAATCTGCATCAATTCACGATGTATGATGTTAGTAATCTATAGGGTTTCCGCGATGTCCGATGTCAGTTATCTACATAGATTTCTCGATGTCTGATGTCTATAATCTACAAACATTGCACGATGTCTGATGTCAACAATCTAGATATTTCAAGATATGTCATGTCAGTAATATACAAACATTTCACGATGTATGATAGAAATAATCTACATTAATTTCACCAGATCTGCCGTCAATGATCTACAGAGATTGCTCGATGTCTGATGTCAATAATCTACAAACATTTCACTATGTCTGATGTCAGTAATCTGCATCAATTCACGATGTATGATGTTAGTAATCTACAGGGTTTCCACGATGTCCGATGTCAGTTATCTACATAGATTTCTGGATGTCTGCTGTCCATAATCTACATAAACTTCACAATGTCTGATGTTAGTAATCTACAGGGTTTCCAGAATGTCCGATATCAGTTATCTACATAGATCTCCCGATGTCTGATGTCAATAATCTACAAACATTTCACGATGTCTCAGGTCAATAATCTACATATATTTCACTATGGTGATGTCAATAATCTACAGATATTTCACAATGTCTGATGTCAGTAATCTAATGAGATTTCACGATGTATAATATCAGTAATCTGCATCAATTCACGATGTATGATGTTAGTAATCTACAGGGTTTCCACGATGTCCGATGTCAGTTATCTACATAGATTTCTCGATGTCTGATGTCAATAATCTACAAACATTTCACGATTTCTGATGTCAATAATCTAAAAAAAATTCACGATGTATGATACCAGTAATCTACATAAATTTCACCAGGTCTGCGGGTCAATGATCTACTGAGATTTCTCGATGTCTGATGTCAGTAATCTACAAACATTTCACGACTCCTGATGTCAATAATCTACAGATATTTCACGATGTCTCATATCAGTAATCTACAATCATTTCACGATATCTGATGTCAATAATCTACAGATATTTCACGATATCTGATGTCAGTAATCTACAGAGATTTCAGGATAACTGGTGTCAAATATCTGTATATATTTCGCGATGTCTGATGTCAGTAATCTACATATATTTCACTATGTCTGCTGTCAACGATCTACAGAGATTTCAATATGTCTGATGTCAATAATCTACAAACATTTCTCGATGTCTGATGTCAATAATCTACAAACATTTCACGATGTCTGATGTCAATACTCTAAAGAGTTTTCACGATGTATGATACCAGTTATCTACATAAATTTCACCAGGTCTACCGTCAATGATCTACAGAGATTTCTCGATGTCTGCTGTCAATAATCTACAAACATTTCACTATGTCTGATGTCCACAATCTACAGATATTTCACGATGTCTGATGTCAGTAATATACGGAGATTTCACGATATATGATGTCAGTAATCTGCATCAATTCCCGATGTATGATGTTAGTAATCTACAGGGTTTCCACGATTTCCGATGTCAGTTATATACATGGATTTCACGGTGTCTACGGTCAATAATCTACAAACATTTCACTATGTCTGATGTCAATAATCTACAGATATTTCACGATGTTTGATGTTAGTAATCTACAAACATTTCACGATGTCTGATGTCAATAATCTACAGAGATTTCACGATGTATAATACCAGTAATCTACATCAATTTCACCAGGTCTGCCGTCAATAATCTACAGACATTTCTCGATGTCTGATGTCAATAATCTACAGAGATTTCAGGATCACTGGTGTCAATTATCTGTATATATTTCGCGATGCATGATGTCAATAATCTACAGATATTGCACGATGTCTGATGTCAGTAATCTAACCAGATTTTACGATGTCTGATTTTAATAATCTACAGATATTTCACGATGTCTGATGTCAGCTATCTATATCAATTCACGATGTATGATGTTAGTAATCTACAGGGTTTCCAGAATGTCCGATATCAGTTATCTACATAGATCTCCCGATGTCACATGTGAATAATCTACAAACATTTCACGATGTCTAAGGTCAATAATCTACATATATTTCACGATATCTGATGTCAGTGATATACATATATTTCACTATGTCTGATGTCAATAATCTACAAACATTTTACGATGTCTGATGTCAATAATCTCTAGATCTTTCACAATGTATAATACCAGTAATCTATATCAATTTCACCAGGTCTGCCGTCAATAATCTACAGACATTGCTCGATGTCAGATGTCAATAATCTACAGAGATTTCAGGATCACTGGTGTCAATTATCTGTATATATTTCGCGATGTCTGATGTCAATAATCTACAGATATTACACGATGTCTGATGTCAGTAATCTAAACAGATGAAACGATGTCTGATTTTAATAATCTACAGATATTTCACGATGTCTGATGTCAGTGATATACATATATTTCACGATGTCTAAGGTCAATAATCTACAAACATTTCACTTTGTCTGATGTCCATAATTTACAGATATTTCACGATGTCTGATGTCAGTAATCTACTGAGATTTCACGATGTATAATGTCAGTAATCTGCATCATTTCACGATGTATGATGTTAGTAATCTACAGGGTTTCCACGATGTCCGATGTAAGTTATCTACATATATTTCACGATGCCTGATGTCAATAATCTACAAACATTTCATGATGTCTGATGTCAGTAATCTACAAATATTTTACGATGTCTGATGTCAATAATCTACGGAGATTTCACTATGTATGATACCAGTAATCTACATAAATTTCACCAGGTCTGCCGTCAATGATCTACATAGATTTCTCGATGTCTAATGTCAATAATCTACAAACATTTCACGATGTCTGATGGCAGTAATCTATAGAGATTTCACGATGTATGATGTCAGTAATCTACAGAAATTTTACGATGTCTGATGTCAAAAATCTACAAGATATAAGATGTAAGATAATGAAGTAATCATGTGCATATAACTTTCGGTTCATAGTAGTTGGAACCATTAGTCTAAAATTAAGGAATATGTCTTCTATTTATGCTTTCGCGAGGCAAATAGCTATCGTCTCATCATCTTTTTATTGTGTAACCGTTTGTTGTTTTTTTTTAATAATTAATTTTCGATGAATATTTTGAAAATGAAATTACAAATGATATTACTAGTATACGTCATTCATTCTTCTATTTACATTTACATATACATTTCATTTTTAGACATTGAAATTATTTCTTTTGGCAATTACGTAATAACATCAAATCACCAAATACGAACAATAGGATTTCCGTTCACAAATAACGTCGAAAATGATCATGCCGAATGGATTTCTATCCACGTGCTTTAAATGGAAAACATGATGTGGATCCTCCAAAACATAATACTATAAAACTATCAATGAAATGTAGATCAAATCACTGTACTTAGTCTTCCTGTGTGTGTTCGTGCAATCCTTACATTACAAGTGTTACACACTGTTGGTGAAATCCACGAGGTTTGCTATCACCTTCATTGATATAGTGGCATGGTCTAGAATACACACAGATTATTTTGAAATGATTCCTTATAGTTTCATATCTGCATGCTCGACTAGTTTAATATTGCACTGTTCGAAGGAGATTGTCCAGTAACGATATTTATTCTAAACTCCCGTTGTTTGTCTTTTACGTCAATTCCTTATATTGTTCTGAAGCATTTACTGGATTTTAATATACAATTCTAATTCCTCATACCATCCAAAACATACATAAACTCTAACCTCCTCTCCATCTCTCTCTCCAGACTCCAAGCGGAATCTCCCGGCACATTGGTTGGACGAATCCCCGTCTACAGCGTTCAGCTGTAACAGAGTTAGAGTAGTACTGTAGATTACAAGAAATTAAAAGCTTATCCTCATCTACATTAAGATGTCATATTACAGCATTCAGAACTTGTTTTTTATCTTTCTGCATCCGAGGTCCTAAATTTGAAATAACTGTCGTATTTGAACCCGTGTTTGATGTTAGTGCAATTAGTATTCATGTATATGTATATGCGATCCAGGTGTTCATATCACGCAATTAGACAATTTGCCACTATGATCACGGCGGGAATTTCTTGCTGCTTTTCAGTACAACTTCCAAATATACGATCTTGGGGATTTCGTGGTTAGGCAATGTCTAGGCAGATGGGTAGTCTTGGCTAGGCGATTTTGTGCCATATATTGTGAGTTCGAGGTCCGGGAAGTCAATATATGTCTTCCTTCCTCAACTATGTTTGAATGTCCAATGGAAATAGCCTATATACATGCATATATATATACATAATTAATTAAAAGAACACGTCGATTTAAGAATCAGTGCTTTCATTTGTAAAAAGCATTGTTTTAAAGAAAAAAAGATATGACGCCATAGAATACTGCCAAATAACAATGTATTTCAGCAACGTGTGGCCACCTCTGACACCACGGAGGCGATAAGATCGTCTTTAATGGACGCGCAGATTTGGCCCAAAAAGGTTCGGAATGCTTGGGTTGAGACGTGAGATGTTCATCGACGAGTCTAGAAAAAGGGTACATCGCAAACGTGATGAGCGTTTCGGCAACGCATGCGTGGTTGAACGCAATAGATTTGGTGGGGCTTCTTTAATGGTTTTGGGGGGCATCTCCCATGGAGTAAACATGTTGCCAGAATCGGTCGTGATTTTCTGGCGGCAAACAAAATTCAGCCTCTGGAATGGCCCCCATATAACCCAGCATTTCTCCCATCTATGAGATGAGCTGGACAGACCGGACGTATAAGTAAACGTCAAAAACCTCCCCCCCCCCCCCCCCCCCCCCCCCCCCCCCCCCACCCACCCACCCTTTAACAGTAAAGACTGTCTAAAAATAAAGGGAACAGCAATAGGTACTCAAATGGCACCAACATATGCAAACGTTAACATTGGAATATTTAGACGCTATATACAGAATTTCGGCATTACAATGTTTAAAACTAAGAGAGATTCACAGATTACGGTTTTATTATATGAATTTACGACAGGAAAAAAGAAATATTCAAATATATTCGGAATACTCACGACCCAACACATGAATCTATTATTGAAATCAATTGAAATTTCGTTATTAGGTGTCTTTGTAAAAATGAAAACAATAGATGTTTATCATGACCCAACAGATACCCACCATAATGAATCTTGCCTTCCGAGACATACAAAATGGAACATACCTTACAACTTAGCAAGAAAAATCTGCTCTATACAATTGTAAGCGAGGAGGACATCCGGAATCCTGGAATTAACAACTCATATCAACATCAATAAACAGAACAGAAATACTTGATTCACAGATAAAACGAGTATCCAGAATCATCAATTATACCATTAATCCCAACCCATAATCAACAAAATCGGAATATCAATTTAAATAGTGAATCACCTGAACATTTCACTGAGAGAAGATGAACATCTGAAACTATGTATTTGATAACAAGCAATTAAGCAACATTAACCAACAATCCAGAAATAAAAAAAACTATTATGTCTAATTTCATAGGCAAAACAAAGTTTCAATGTGAGAGATCCACAACGCGGCACATGTGAATATCAAAAAGGGGTTTCCCAAAACTGTACTAAAAAGGAATTTACCATTAACACAAATATGAGAATGAGAACTAAAGAGAATAAACACCTTAAGAACCCGAGTACATCACAGCATATTACTGTACCACAATACAGACCAATCACATTAAGTTTTAGATAATTAGTTTTAGTGGTAGGTATGTGTTCACCATTAAGTAATTATCATTGTTCCCCCAGGAATGGTTTTAGTGGTAGGTATGTGTCTTAGGTGACCTAAAAACTACCATGAAAACTATACCTATATTTCGTCATGTTTGACTGGGTTTGATTAGGCACGGTGTTTTGTTGTTATTCGGTATCATTTCCTGATACACATTAAATACGTTATCAGCTTGTTTGGCTTTTTGAATTAATAAATCTGAATATGACGACAGACAGCAACATACGAATCGATAACAATAATTCTTTAAAAAGTTATGAGGAATAAGAGACTATATTCTGAAGATGCCGGACAATTGTAGAAGTATGTATGATTGTACAAAACGATTGACAACTGTGGCAGTTGCGTTGTGTTGCATCGCTATCATGGGGAGATCCTTATTTAGAAAGGTCAAAATTCGGAGTAGTTTTTGAAGACAGCTCTAGGACCTAATGTTGCCTGAAACCGTCATTGGCGTAGATGGTGTTCGTCGTACCAGCTCTCTCCCAGCTGTCTAGATAGGGGCGACAAGTTAAAACTTCACTCTACTCCCTAAAACTCTGAATGGGCGTTATCACTCCAGCTCTTCTCCGAATAGCCACATCGTGCGGTGATGAACAGACCTCACTTTGATCACTGTTTAAATTCCTCCGAAGTTTGATTAGTGGTTAGATTCGTGTCGGTGCAGTTACTAAAAAACTTTTTTGTTGTTGTTGTCTCGTCCCGAATCCTTTTCTAATCGCTCAAGGGAGTTAGAGTACTTGTAATGAACGACTTAGCTAAAGTCTATACTTTCAGGTGATCCAGTCCATTCAGATTGTATGCGTTCACATTTCTTACTGTAATTGTTATGCGTGTGATTTGTGTGAAAATGCTGGTTTTGATCTAGAAATGTTAGAAGCTAAAACAATATGCGTTACGATGAAATGAAAACTCATTTTGTCATAATGAAATGGGATATAGCAGATGAGTGGCAGATGCTCTTTTCATAACGAATAGTGAGAGGTTCTGGTAAATCAAGTGAAATTCTAGGAATAAATACTATATCAAATGGCCTAACTAGACCGCGTGTACCTTCCAGCAACCGGTATATATCTTATATACATATTGCGGGCGATCAGTACTAGGATGTAAACGAGAACACGATAAATGGTTATATTCGTGATCGTGCAATCCTGTCGGAAGTGTCAATCAACACCGGAATGACTTTCTTTTACGGTCTAAAAGGTGAAAATGTTCCAAATAGAAATTATTCTTTACAGCTAGCCGAATTTTCACTTTATTCTCTCTCTGAACTTACACTATCATTTATCAGAAGATTTTGACTATCTGACGTTACTGTTCTAAGCCTAGTGAACACGGAAATACCTTTACTTCTATAAAAGCACGCAATGACGACCGCGAATATTCTCTTTCACTAGAACAGTTAGCATAATGCTGAATTTAACATGTAACGGGGTTGCAAAAAACGATATTTGTATCGTTTAACTAAAGATCAGAGTATCCTAAGAAGTATTTTTGTTTTGTCCTAAAAATAATAAATTAGTCTTTGTGAATGTCGTGAATTACAAATTAATCAATGTGGTTTCTAGCGTTTTCCAAGTTCCTCGTTACACGTGACCACGCCGACAAACAATTAGATGGATTGGATCTCACGGGACTTCAAATAACATGTGAGTAGACTGTTTTTAGTGTGATAGTGTTACTTTACAGACCAAACGAAGAAACGTGAAATCCCTTAATTGCATTTTCTGGGCATGAAAATTGTGGTTAGGACATCAATATGAGGTGTGATATGGATTTGTGACGTGATACTGTAACGCCACCATTTGTTTTTGTAAAATAGAAAACTCATATGTCTGAAATCCTAATGTAGCAAGTGCAAATCTTCATCTAGATTTTGACATTTTTTTCTATAACTTTTGATTTTCCTCTCTTGCTTCCTAAGTTTGAATTTTAGGCCATCAGCATCACTGACCTAAAAAGAACGAAACAACTGTATGATGTAGTTTAATTACCAGTTTTGTTCTACTGTATCTTATTAAAATTTGTATTCGAAGGTGTTATTTATTTGTGATACTTTTGTAGAAACAAAGAAACACATTTAGATGTAGAACCTTAAAGGTATGAGGAAAGGGTTCAGTATTCCAGAAAACAAAGGTATTGTACTTCACCCCGATAAAGTGGCACGTTTTCAATAATAATCAGGAACTTCAACTGCCATCAAACACGTCATGCTTCACGGATTTCATGATAAGCAAACTTATAAGTATTAAATACGTCCAGAATGTTTCTCAATGAGATCATTATGACGAGCGTAAAACTTCCCCATAATTATTGTTAATCTGCATCTTTTGAAACCCTGTGATACGAGTTTGAAATAATGATAATGGTAGCAGGCCCTTCAATGTCGAATCAACTTCGACAGGCAAACCCAAAGGTTGGGAATAAAATGTGTTGCTATCAAGAAACAGGAAATTAAAATCATCACGTTTATTATGTAGCTAGGTAAAAAGCTGTCCATTTTGGTTTCGTTGTAGGAAAAGATCGAGATAAGTGGCTGATGTATTCTGGTGGGAAACCTCTTGTTATTTAAAGACAATATATCTGTAATTAAACGACTTTGCAAGGCGCCTGTGGTCTGTTTTGATAGGCTCTTTAATAGATTTAGCCTCTCTGAAAACAAAAATAAGTCAGCCAACAGAGGGGCGCAGTTGGTTCCCATAGGTATGTCAACTTTAGAAGAAATGCAGTAGATATTTTACAATGTCTTTTTTACCTATTAACTCATCGTCAAATCCTTAAACGAATGGAGAAAAAAAATAGGGCAGTACAATTTACTGTATTCACCATTTATCTGAAGGATTACCTTGCTATGAAATTGATATCGGCATCAGCAATTCATTGTCATTTCCTTGATTTGAATTGTGGGTTGTGTCTAGTTAGGAGAATACGTTTTTGGTGTAAAATGACACAAATAATTCCTGCATAAAACCACTATGTATATGAAAACTTACCAGCTCTACGGATCCGTAATGACGCCGGCTGAATACATCCCTTCGAACAGATAGATCTGATGCCGGAGTGCTGAAACAACATAACCATGACTTAGAATTTCATTAAACTCATAAAGATATAAAAATATTTGCATTGAATATGTAAAACGTTTACTAAAATAAGTACAGGGAGATAACGTCAAACTACTCTCAGAAAGGTCGGCGGAGTTCAACCATCTGTATAATTAGTACAGGGAGATAACGTCACACTACTCTCAGAAAGGTCGGCGGTGTTCAACCATCTATATGATTAGTACAGGGAGATAACGTCACACTACTCTCAGAAAGGTCGGCGGTTTTCAACCATCTATATAATTAGTACAGGGATATAACGACACAACATTCTTAGAAAGGTCGGCGGTGTTAACCATCTATATAATTAATACAGGGAGGTAATGTCACACTACTCTCAGAAAGGTTGGCGGTGTTCAACCATCTATATAATTAGTACAGGGAGATAACGTCACACTACTCTCAGAAAGGTCGGCGGTGTTCAACCATCTATATAATTAATACAGGGAGGTAATGTCAAACTACTCTCAGAAAGGTCGGCGGTGTTCAACCATCTATATAATAAGTACAGGGAGATAACGTCACACTACTCTCAGAAAGGTCCGCGGTGTTCAACCATCTATATGATTAGTACAGGGAGATAACGTCACACTACTCTCAGAAAGGTTGGCGGTGTTCAACCATCTATATAATTAGTACAGGGAGATAACGTCACGCTACTCTCAGAAAGGTCGGCGGTGTTCAACCATCTATATAATTAATACAGAGATATAACGACACAACATTTTTAGAAAGGTCGGCGGTGTTTAACCATCTATATAAGTACAGAGATATAACGACACATCATTCTAAGAAAGGTCGGTGGTGTTGAACCACCCATATAATTAGTACAGAAAGGTCGGCGGTGTTTAAGCATCATATAGTAAATACGGGAAGGTAATGACACACCACTCTCAGAAAGGTCGGCGGCGTTCAACCATCTATATAGTAAATGCAGGGAGGTAATGACACACCACTCTCAGAAAGCCCGGCGGTGTTCAACCATGTATATAGCAAATACAGGGAGGTAATTCCACACCACTCCAAGAAAGATCGGCGGCGTTTAACCATCTATACAGTAAGTACAGGGAGGTAATGACACACCGTCCTTATGAAAGTTGGTTTTCGACTATCTACATCTGTAGTACCTAATTATTCACGAATATATTTCCTCCCGGGAACACACCACTCTATATTCTACGGACTACTTTTATAAAACTAACTGGTCTTTATTTAAAACGTTCCCGGTACCTATCTTATTTATTTTAAGATGATATCGTTGCATATGTACTTTTATCAACTACAATTTTTAAGACAAGCAATCCAGCTCAAGAAAAATCTCAGAAAATATTTTTTTATCTTAAATATTCCTCCATTAAGTTTCGTATTACCGAAACAGGTCAATTTAACATTTCAGAGGACGTTACGGTGGTGGTGTAGGCCATCACTGATTAAATAACTTTTAAAAATAGCAAAACATACATTTTACATATTTGTAGTAGTTAATGCCAATGCTTGGTGTCAGGATATTCCCTACTACTGTAGTTACTATTATTTTGTAGCGACGCGTGGGTCGCTTCGTGTCGTTTTTCCGGAATTTAGTACAACCCTGTCCGAGGAAGCGAGGAACTCTGGGAGAAAAAGTGACGTCGCATCCTCTTCCTTTGGAGGCCAAGATACGATAGGTCGGTATTGAAATTCGGGCAGGGTAATCTGTTAGATTTTTGTGTTGTCAGCGCCCATCTCTTCCCTAAAATGCTATAAAATGGTTTACTAAACATCAGTTGCCACCTACAACCCGATATGTTTGATTTCCGACCGTGTATTTTGGTATATTTTTCGACTTATGCGGACTTAAGTTTTGGCTGGAACCTCGTGTCGTGATTGAGGGGAACGTTCGCTAGCTGTTGAAATTTTGTTAAATAGTGGATAATTCGAGAATTGGTATTCTCGGGGAGTAGTTTTCTCTAGTTCGGTGAGGCTGATTTTGTGTGCCCCCCTCGCAAAGACGAACGTAGGAGAAGGCGGTAGTGTTGAGTTGGACTTTGTAAATTTGGAGTCGGTCACGTGGCGGAGATTTGTCCGTTCGGCAAGGTTTGAGACTCGCTCCGAGGAACGGTGTCAGATTCCGTGGGCCGAGAGTTAATTTAGCTAGAGAATTTCGACAACCACGACATTGGTTCCTACCTGATAGTTAGTTTAGGTAAAAGTTTGTTTATTTCAGGTGGCTTCTGTACATCGTTAGGGTTAATTAAAAACACTCACTGAGCCGGTTAAATGTCTTTCATGCTAAACTTTACTCTTGTAAAATATATAATAAATTGTTGAATCTGTTTTAATTCTTCTCGTCATTATTGCCAGTACTTGGTTGAAATTTGTTTGTGAAATCTGCAAGCGAAAGCGGCAGTCGAACCAATTGGGCACTTGTATCATTGTAACAACAGAGGTGACGTCCGCGGTGCGGCCACTAGCGGGTCGCGAGACGTCGTTCGTTACAATTTACTATTGAGGCTACTCAACTGTGACGATGCATTCATATACCTGTAATGCATGTGCTGTTCCCAGGGTAAGTCAGAAAACTGGTTAGACCAGTGTAGGCCGGTGTATGTACTGGGTGTTTCTCAGGTAAGTTGAGGATCTTGTGATGAGTATGCACGTGCCAGGTATTTTGTCAGGTACCCTAGGTGGGGGTTGGACAGTACCAGACAGAACTTCGACGGTGGAGGTTGTGTTAGGCTGAGCTCAATGTATTGCCAGATTACTATTGGGAGGGCTGTGTGCCTACTTCCAGATGATGTTGGCTTTTGGGGAGCCTAGGACTCGTGTCTGTCCAGTATGACAATTTTATTAGCTGGGTGCTCATGGTTGTGTGCCTGTAAATAGTTTTTCCAAGCTGTGTGCTTCGAAGCTGTGTTTGTCCATGACTGTGTGTCCATGGGACTGTAAGCTGTACTTGGACTGTGTGCCCTCTATGTCCAGGGTTGTGTGTCCAAGCTGCTGTGTGCCATGTCTTTGTAAAATAGGACTATCCTTGGGGCTGTGTGCCATATTTCTGTAGGAGTGTTCCGGATGAAGCTACCTTGGAGTTGATGTAACCTCGTAATGTGGTACTGAAAATACTTAAGCCTCCTTGGAGGACAGTGTGACCTTGTGTTGACCTTGCCCGGGTTGAGGAGACCATCTATACTGTAACCTCTATAAAAAGAAGAGGATTGAGTTCCAAGTGTAAACCGGATTATGAACTGTGTTCACGGAGAAAAGACTTTCCCATATCGCGTCATCAATTTTATGTTCCGTGTATAGGTATAGTTTAACATATCGGAGAATAGGGGCTTAAGTGTCTTTGGGACCTAAGGTATGAGAGGTAGTGACGTGTGCGACGTGGATATTAGTTATGTAAATGTGCTATTTTGTTTGGTTTGTAAATAAATGTGTATATCGTTGGCATATCTTAGCTGGTTTGCTGGTTTTCACCAATTTGGACATCCTTACATTACCACACCTCGTGACATTTGGGATACCTGAAATATCTAAAGTTAGATGGCCGTCTTTAAAACAGTATTTTCAAAGCAGATTAGTTTTAAAGTACATATTTTGTTAGCATCACCGTTCCTATAGTAAACATGACCGTATTGACTTTCGCAAACCGTGTAGACAGCACTAGCCAATAATTGGACTGTACTAGAAAGCATTAAAGTTTAAACGTAAACGGTATGAAAAGCGGAGATCAGCGGCAGAAAATCTTTAGATTCAAAACATACGGTAAGGATATCACTAATGGTACATTGGGGATATACATGAACAGTATATTACAAATAATGCCTTAAAATGTATCTCATAAGGTAGGTTTAACCACTCCCACCGTATGTAAGAGAAATTGTAAAACAATTTTATGTTTGATTCCCATGGTACACACAAAAAAAAAATTGTAAAACAATTTGGTGTTGGATTCCCAACGTATTCAAGAGAAATTGTAAAACAATCTGGTGTTTGATTCCCAAGGTGTACAAGAGAAATTGTAAAACAATTCAATGTCTGATTTCCAACGTACCCAGAGAAATTGTAAAACAATTTGATGTCTGATTTCCAACGTAACCCAGAGAAATTGTAAAACAATTTGATGTCTGATTTCTAAGGTATAAAAGAATTGCAAAACCCAAGGTTAACAAAAGAAATTATATAACAATTTGGTGTTTGATTCCCAAGGTTAACAAGAGAAATTGTAAAACAATTTGGTGTTTGATTCCCAAGGTATACTAAAGAAAATGTAAAACAATTATGTGTATGATTCAAAACAATTTGGTGTTTGAATCCCTTGTGTACCAGATAGATTTTAGAATATCAAAATGTGTGGTACACAATGTTGATACAGAGACTGTAGATTATCAAAGTGTGTGGTACACAATGTATATTACATTGATGATCCCGAACGAATGTTCGATTGTAGGATACTTGAGTGTGATCCGCTATGGACTGGCGGAATCATTTAGAGAATAGACCTCAGTTTATACTAACGACACTCTGCAATATTTTGTGTAATACCTGCAGGATAAACTGTGAATGATGTCCGATATATATAGATTGTAGAATACATTGTATATGGCGTCTGTTCGACAGAGCAGACCTTTTTTGTATGACACCTATTTTATTGAACAGACAGTCACTGTATGACGTCTATTTGACAGAACAGACATTTCATGTATGACATATTTTATTGAACAGACAATGTACCAATATTACACGTCCAATGTGATCACAGCCGGTAAAAATCGATACGGAAGTTTTGTATAGAAATAAACACGTTTATAATATAAGCATGAAGGGCGTTTCCGTACAAATGTTTATCTATAGCATTTCATGTGTTAAGTTTAACGATGCTGCACTTATCCCAGATAAGATTATAGGAAAACCGGGAAACAATGGACAATGGCCGGATACTGAGTGTTGTGTGTAGACTGACGTATCATAGTCAGACAGTTA